TAAAAATTTATGATATTTTCTAGGATCTTCCTTCCTCTCTATTCCACCTTGATAGAACCGTATATCTCTCTCCAAGTTAGCAGGAAAACACCGCATGGCCCATCTATTTTTTTTAGCCTCAGTAATGACCGAAAATTTCTCAGAATCTATTTCATGTTCGATGGCATATTGGCGTAAGCCTGCCTCTGGCTGATAAAGGCCGATTTTGTTTGGTATCTCTCCCTGAGTTTCCGGTAAACTCTGTACAGCAATAATAACTTTCTTTTGATCGATATGAAAAGGGCAACTAAGAAAATAGTGATTATTTTTATCTAAACAGCTCCAATCACTCCATATTCCTAAACGTGTATGTACCTTTTTACATATTGGGCATGAAGCTTCCGAATCAGTATATTTAAAAGCATCTCTGTACTATGCATTTGATTTAGTATACCTCAAGAAAGGGAATCGTTTCTATACTGCTTCATGGATTGTATTTTTATCTTCTGGAAACTTGAAAATCTTAATAATACAATCTTGTGAGATATAATTATCCTCTTCAATTTGTGAGGATTCAGAAGTTTCAGAGTTTATCCAGAGATCAAGTCCAGTTTCATCTGTATAACTTTCATATAAAATATCACGAAACTTATCTGTCAATAGATTTGGCAGGCCAGTTAGTTGAAGGAGCTATTTATTGTAGTCACCAGTTAATATTTTCTTGCCAGAGGAAATCACAGGGTAGTTAGATAAATGAGACATATTATCATTTTATATAGTTATAAATCAATTTAAATCATGCATTGGATATTATAAAAAAAATATCTTTCAGAGAAAGCATTAAATATGGTCTTGTTTTTTATCACAGGTATTGAAAAGATGATTACACAGTTATCTCAATTTCATACTTTCTACATTTAATAAAATAAGATTCAGCTCCATATCTACCTTTAATACTTTTCTCATCTTTATGATTTAGCTTGCATGCTGGACATAATGACTTATCAATAATTCCATAATAATCGAATTTTTCACTACTAAATTCTCTATATATATCAGGATATTGACCTAATATTTTATTACAAAAATAAGTGCGGTCATAGGTCAGATTAGACGATACATTTGCATGATCTATAGATGGAATCTTATTTTCTGGTAATATATTATTAGATGAAGCACTTACCTTAGTTTTTGGTGAGACTTTCTCAGTAAGAGGTTTCGGGACCATCATATTGGCTCGTATTGAGGTAGGTGGTATACTAATATTGCCTTTCAAATTGGGAGAATCAGAGACATGAGATACAGACGATTTGCTTGCCTTGGTTTCAGCAGTTATATAGCTCTGATCGTGAATTTTATTTAATAGTACATAATTTATAATATTTTGAATTTGGGAATAGGAAAGGTTAGAAATTGCATTTGCACTATATAAAACTTGTTTAATCTTTTCTACTCCTACTGTATTAAAAAGCATTTTTATTTTTCTGGCTCTAAGAAGTTTTTGACGCAGATTCATATCTGTGATTTCAGGGAGAAGCCGTTTTACTTCATCATATACTATATTCATTGCTTTTTTCTTACCAACTTTCTTATTAGCAGAAACTTTATCTGCTCTTTTGTCATATTTTTCCGCAAAATAGTGCCAACATGAAATGGTATTTTGACTTGATCGAATGGCCTCTTGAAACATATGAACTATGCTTTGCGTTAAAACTGAAGATGGATCGAGAATCTGTAAATCTGTATCTCTGACCAATACTTCTTTATTTTCAGCTATGCTGGCTCTACCAATAATCACAGAAAGCTATTGCATTAACTTTTGTTCAACAATCAAATTTTTCTCTAGAGGGAATAAGTTCATCACTCTGTTCAGATTCACTAAGTATAACAAAACTAGAGCTGATAGCAACAGTTGATAGATCCGAATTCTGAACAAGTTTTCTATGAATTTTATTTACACAAATTTCATCACATGTTTTTTCTTCAGTAAACTTTTTCTCACTGTTCCTCTGTTTTATCTCATTACTAACTCTTTTCTTATCCTCTGAATCTAGGAATTTGTCAATCTCTATATCTTCTAATGATTTAGATTCTATAGTGATTGTTGATGCAGAACATTAGCATTCACTGGTGTATTTGTGCTGAGTCTTGCTATGAAGTGGCGATGCCCCCACACTTGACTCCTGGTTTACATCAGATCTAATTACATCTGCTGTAGACAGACAAGGTCTGATAGTTGTATCAACTATCTGTTTAGGAGTATTGACTTGGCACAAATGTGCCAGCTCACGCTGAGAATTATTATTAATACTTTGGTTCTGCTTCTCAATTTTATCAACGGCTCGTTCTAGCTTAACGATTTTGGCTTTAAACTTAGCATTTTCTTCTATGATCTGTTTTAATTTTGTATTCTCATGTTTAAGCTCCATATTCTCAGCCTTAACCTCAGTATTCTCATCTTCGAGCTTAGTGATGCGTTGTTTTAACAAATCTAATTCGGATTGCATATTCGATAATAGTTTTTTTATATATGTATAATTTTATTCAAAATAAAAAAATTACGTATGTGTAAAGAATCTTCACACTGATCACTTTTTTTGCAAGAAAAATTCTCGATCATACGTGGACATCGATATATATACAATATAATAAAATCCAAAGATATACATGCAAACTAAACACGATTATGTATACGAAATTGAGCCACGAGGGCCAGCTTTATTATTGATTTATAATTGCCAAATAAACTGTCGAAATAAATATGTTATACGAATCGTAAAAATGTAATTATACCGCGGTATTTTGATAATAATATTACATGCTAAGAATAACAAATATTGGATTGTCTACACTAAAATTATTCGATCCACTCCTTTTATTAAAGGAATATATCCATTAGATCAATTTGTGACAATTTTGTTGCCCAAAATATCTGATTCAATATAGCCATATCATGGTTTTTCGTAACTAGTTTCCCATCTTCTGCTCCATACGGCTATTTAATACTAACATGATTCATAAAATGAGAATAACGTGCGGAATCAACCTTCCCAGACCATTCAAAATCGATCAATTTCACGTCAAATTCATTATTTTCAAGTTGGCGAACTAGAATATTCCCTTCACATAAGTCCCCATGTACATGCTCTGAATCATACAAATATTTAACTACTATTTCAATTTTCTTTTTTAAATCATCTCGTTCTTGATTATTAAGATTAATGGTGATGCAACTTAGCATTAAATAGTTGTCTAAACATTCCATATAAACCAAAAGCCAATTTCCAGGAATAACTGAAGTAGCAAAAACTTTTGGAGCATATTCAGCATCAGCTAAAAGCCAATGTGTGTCAAGCGAATATTGATGCTTTTGAACAGCTCTCACATAGGCTATGCAATATATCTCCTGTGCGTCTAAAATCCTAACTTTCCAAAGACGAAAAACACCAACTTGGGGATCAGAATCGAACTGAATGCTATATCATTTGCCATTTATAACTATATCAGGAAATGATGGATGCACAGGGTAGGCAGTTCGAGGGATGTCTTGA